AGTAGCGTGGCTTCCTGGCCTGGTGTGGTTCTCTGTGGGAATTGTTGTGCTGGAGCAGTCAGCCTTCCTGAAATCCCTGCTCTGGCAGAGCTGTAACTGAGCTGGTTTTTGTGGAAAGTCATATTGCTTCCTTCTGCAGAACGTGAAGGAGCAGATGTCATGTCTGAAGGGGAAAAAAAAGTAATATCCAAGGTGTCAGTTTGATTTGGGAGCTCCAGTCTCGAGTTACAGGCTGCCTGGTGTTGGTTTAACTTTCCGTGTGTGAAGACTTTCCTGCCAGTTAATTAATTTGAGGTTATTCTTTAAGAGGGAGGCAGCAATCCTTGTTTTCTCTGATGTAAACTGGTTGCTGTTTGTCATGCTATCCCTGCTTGCAGGTGAAGAGGTCTGGAGATGCCTGGGATGTGGGGACAGCATTGCTGCCGGGCAGCGCCTCTACAAGACCGTCAACGAAGCCTGGCACATCTCCTGCTTTCGGTAGGTAAAGCTTTGGCCTGTTCAGCCCTCCTCGTGCTGTTCCACTGGCTTGGGACCTGGTGCTGTGGTACCTGGGTGAAGCACCACCATAAAGCAGGAGCTGTTGCTGTGATCTCTGTGCCCGAGCTGCTCTGAGCCCGTTCTCCAGCGTGCGGTCCCAGCATGGGTCAGACCCTGCCTGGCAGAGGGGGTGGCTGTGCTGACGCACACGGGGTACAGATAAAGTGCAAATAAGGGCTCTGATTTACTGGTGGTGGCAGGAACCGCGGGCTGCACGTTTGCCTTCAGCTGCATTCCAAGGTAGCACCCAGGCAATTTGCATAGCCTGGTGCTTTGTCCATATGTGGTAGGTGCCACGGTGTTATCGGGGTGCTGATACAGGGGAGGGAGGGCAGGGAGATCTTGCCTTTGCCTTTCTCTCCTTTTCAGACTCTGAAGACAGACAAACTTATGAAATCCACTGGATAATGTTGCTGTTAGCAAGGAGAAAAAGGGAAATCTGCCATGGTTTTTCCTGGTGGTAGGAGTAATGCCCCTGGTCAGTGTTTCATGAATATTCAGTCCAGTTTTCATGCTCCAGAACCACCTTTTTGAAGGGACCTATATTTCTGAGAGGCATTGAGTACCTGCAGCTTCTACTGGCTTCTGTGTTGGCTTGGGTCTGGAGAGGCTAAAATTTTGGATGCTATCAAAGAAAATGGGGGGAAAGGAAGCCAAAGTGTGGCTTTGGAGGAATGTTTGCTGAGCCAAGATAAGCATCTACTGTCCTCGTTTAAGGAACAAAATACCCCAACTTTGTTGAAGTGAGGATTATGGTTATTGGTGTATTTAAAAGAAAGAAAACATCTCATGCTGCCAAAGCAGTGCTGGCTCTGTTGATTTGGAAAATGCTGTGAGTTACAATGTCACATTAATAATCACAATTACAGCTTGATATCTTGACAAATCCCAGTATTTTGGGTTTCTGTTGGTTTGAGTGTTCATGTTTAGCTATACTGAGGCAGCTTGTCTTATTCCTGGTTTTCTCTTCTCCCTAAAGAACTAGTATCCTGTTGTTGAGCTTCCCTAGATCCTGCTAGTGGCCAAACCCAAAGCTGTGTGTGCTGAAGTCTGTCTTTCTTGCCATTGGATGTATTTCTTTTGTGGGTCTTGACTTGCAAATGTCTTGAAGCTTCTTGCTGTTGGGGCTGTCAGGGTGGGGAACAGCTGAACTGGAGAAAATCCTGCCCTTGGGACACTTCACAGAGAGTTTGATATCGAGGTTATATTTTAGAGTGGAAGGTTTTGGTTGTTGGTTCTGGGTTGGTTTGTTTTTATACAAGTGAAGACCCCAACTTTCCTCCTGAGCTGTGTAATAAGTGCATTTTCTGATGCAGCTCTCGTGCTCTGTGCTCCTGCTGAGCTCTGGCACCCGGCTTGGCTGCTGTGCTGCAAGAACAGCTGGAATCTGCAGCAAAGGAAGCTGCCCTTCCCTTTTTCCTACTTCCAGGGGAGGACTGTGCACAAAAACAAGTTTCCAGTTTGCCCTGTGTCCCTCCTTTCCTTCTGTTGTCCCCAGACCACGCTGAGCAGCAGTTTGTGCTCGATATCCCAAAGCCAAAGTCGAGAGAGGCTCTGAGGGAAGGAGCCTTTGGCAGGCGGGAGCTGTGAGTTCCGGCGGCCCTTGTGGAGTGTTTTTTACAGTCTTCCTGTGGATTAGCTGACTCCCTGGCCTGGCACATAATTTCTCTAATGCTGCTTGGCACAGCTCCAGGCTCGTTAGCTCTGTTTATTCTTGGTCAGGCTTGGCTCTGGCAGGAGCTGACGTACATCCATGTCTCTGAGGATTTAAGTTTTTGTCACTTCCCTCCTTCCTCCAACTGCCTGTGCAGGAGCTTTGTCTCTGGAACCTGCGTTTTCTCTGCTGTGGCTTGAGGGACGAGCAAATCCCTGTGTGTGTATCTGGGATATTTGAAACAGTTCCTTGGCCAGCTGGTCCTTGGGCTTGAATCGGCTGGGTTGGATCCTTAGATGTTCCTGTCACAATGTCTGTTGTGAATTAACTCTGAATGTACTTTTGTGCCTCTGAACTCTGTTGAGGCATCACAGGCTTTCAAAGGTCACTGCTTTTCACAGTTCAGCTGGATTTGGAAATTGCATTGCCCAGAACTTCAAACATTACCCCAGGAAAGGGAAGGAGAGAGTGGCAAAGTGCCTTTTTCCTATGGCTGGATCACTTTTACCTCAGGGGATTACTGGAAGAGCTTTTTTTTGACCCAGAGCTTGCTGGTTTTATTGTTTTCAGTCCCAACTTTTTTCCATATTACGAAATAGAAGGTAATGCCTTGAATTATACCTTTGAATAAAGTGTTATTCCCAGTTTTTATTTGTGGTGGTTTGGGTTGTTTTTGTTTTCCCAGTGTTAATGACAAATGAAGCTAAAGACGATTCCCACTTTCTGTAGGGATATTGCCCATTTGAACTGGAGTAGGATGGGATGAGAAGACCCAGATGAGGCTGCATGGCTTTATCTGAAGGACACGGTATTTGTTAAAAATCCAGTTTTGATTATTTGAAAATCATGACTACAGATCCAGCCTGTAGACTGCATCCAGGTGGAAAATGCTTTGGGATGCATATGAAGAAAATAATTGGAAATGGTGGTTGGAATTCCTACTGTAGCAGGGTGCATATGAACTTTTTTAGGAAGGAAGAGAGCTGAGGTTCAGTTCCTTCCTAACCATGAAATAACAGAGGATGTATATTACCATGGTCTATAAAATAAATCTAATTTAAGTAGCCAAGCAACACAGACTTGCAGCAGTAATCTCAACCAAAAGCCAAACCTTGAAAAACTGTTCACAGTATATCTTCAACAAAAATAACTGAAGGTGATGGGTTACTGATGATTTTACAGTTACAGATTTAAAAATATACCAGTTAGTTTATACCAAAACCAGCTAATTAAAAGCTGACACATCATCAGGAGTTTGAAGAGCAGAAAAGCTCATCATCCTTTTTTTTTTGTTTGTTTTTCCCAGGAGAGGAAAGGGAAGCAGAAAAAAATCTGTATGAATCCAAAATTTTTTCATTAGTAGGTCTAAAGCACTGGAGATGATGGTGACCAGAAACTGTTAATCCAGTTTGAACAATTACTTCTTTTTTGCTTAATACATCAGATTTTTATGGATATGCAATGCAGTGTGACCTCAGGAAAAATTCTCATGGCTTTCTGTTTTGTTATGACGTCATTTGGACTAACTTAAAATATAAACAACTGTGTGACTAAAAGGTGTGAGCTTTTGGTATCTGACTAAATATATATGAAATATTTTTATACCGGTCAGACACTGCATTATTGTATTTAAGTGATCGTAAGCAGTAAGTTGACTTTGCTGGAGAAGAGTTTGGCTGAAATTAAATAGCTTTGAAATAGTTAAGAAATTGTTGAACTCGTAAAGAAAGCTAAAGTACTAAACCAAAATTTGTTTAAATCGCAGTAAAAACTGCCTTATTACCCGGAGTGAAGTGAGTTCCCTGACAGGCTGTTCAGGGTTCAGGTGCTTGCACTCTTTTTGACTGTGTTGCTCCGTTTCAGTCCCTGTTAACCATTACTGGGGCAGCCCGGAACACAAGGACTGTTGTAACCACCAGAGGGTTGTTCTCCCTGAATGGATACTTGTTAAAAATGGCCCAGTGTTGGCAGAGCGCAGGAGAACTCCTGGCTCTGGCTCCTGCTGGGATTCTGAAGGGAATTTGAAACCAACGCTCCTTTTTTTTTGAGCATTTCTCGGTAGTGGAACAAGGTTAAAAGTAGTTTGTTCCCAGAATCCCTGGTCTCTGCAGTGTGACAGTTGTCCATGGGTGGAAAACATCCCTGGATGAGCTCCCTGTGCATCCAGGGGATGCCCTGAGCTCCAGGCTGCTGAGCAGAAAGAGACCCACTATTAATTTGCCAGCTCTGGTGATTTGATTGTCTTACACAGATGCAGTTGTCCTATACTGAATGCCAATTTTTTTTTTCTGCGCTAAATGCCCTATTTTGTGCGCTGCAGAAATAATTTTTTGCTCAGCAAAACTTAGTAAATCACTTTGGTTCTTTTTCCATTTGGGGGCAGGGGAAGGTAAGCCAGGCCAACTTGTGGTAAGACTGAATATAGTTAAACCTGGTTTAGGGGTGCAGGATAAACCAGATGACTTCTGAGGGTATTTTTCTAAATCTGTTTTCTGTTTTAGTATATCCTCTAACCATCGACTTACATTTGAAGCAAGCAATTTCTGTGGCTTAGGAATGATCAAGAAATTGGTCACTTAATCTCCAGTCACTGTAGGGTTTGCTCTCCCATACTGTTTACTAGCACTTAATTATCCTTCAGCAGAATCTCCAGAAATCTCCTGTGTTGCAGTTTAAATCAGTTTATTCTAGACATGGTCACAGAAAACAAGGTTTCCCCTGCTTCTCTTATCCATGTAACCTTTTCCTGTCAGAAAGCAGCAATCGTTTCTCCCATCACTCCCTCCTAGACAGAAGAAACTGGACTTACTTCTTTCTCCAGAGTGTCTTTTCTAGACTTTTGATCACTTCTGTTGGTTCAAACTGGCACAGGCCTTCATTTTCCAAAAGCAGCTTCGTGCCCTAAAGAGAAATGGATGGATATGAAGCACAAATGTAAGAAATGTGGACACATGAAGATGTAAGCAAAGGTGTACATTAAATTAATTTAAATTGTGGGGATGTTTGGTGCTTTAGCTTTTCAGCTGTGAGCACAAGGCAGGTTTGTACTCAGAGCAGCTGAATTTGAGAGCAGGGGGAAAGATCAATAGTGACAAAAGGCAGCTGAATTAAGGTAGAAGAAGGAAGAAAGAATCTCCTCCTCTTCCCTGTCTTCTCCAGTTTCTGGCAGTTACAGAAAGCTAATGATATGAGAGCTCTCCACTAATCCTGCAGACTCCTGGGAATGCTGCTTTGGTGGTGTCTTCATCAGCATTGAAATTCACCAGCTCACTATCAGATTCAGGGAGAAATAGTTGCCTCTTAGCGCACAGATCACCAGGACTGCTGAAGAGTTCACAGATTCAAAGGAACAATGAAGCACTTTGCAGGTGGCCACATTCCTCAGGGGAATGGATCAGCTGCGGGACATCGATGACCACCCTTTATATTTAAGGAGGAACGGGGCATTCCAATCCAGACTTTCTTTTAGTTGTCTTGGCAGCTTGTCCTTTAGGGCGCTGTTATCAGAGCGTTATCACCTCGGGGTAACTGGAATTACTCACCCAGCCCAGACTGTGGTAGGCTTTCCACGGGAGTGAGAGGGGATCTTTCCCCGAGGATTCTGCTCAGACCGGGGGAGGAGTGAGGATGCAGTGGTGGAAGTGCCAGTGTTACTGCCGGTTGTGCAGAAGTCACTGCTCCCCAAACCACATATAACCTGTGAGGTTCCAGTAGGTTGAATTTCTTTGGTTTGCCTCTCAGCCCACACACATTCAGGAGATCTGCAGCCATTAGGTGAGTGTGGTGCAGATAAAAATCCTGTCTCCACCCTAACGTTGTGTTTAGTGGTGTGAGGCACCGAGCAGCCTTGCTGTTGTTCCGAGGCTGTGCTGGTGCTCGGAAGTAACTCAGCGATGGAGGTGGGCTTTGCTTCGCTGTTTGTTTTAGTTTACTCGAGTTCCCCTCTCGGAGGTACGTGCAGATCCAAAGGAGATTGTTTTCAGGAGCTGACTGTGTCTTTCAACAGCAACAAAGCACGTGTTCCATGTAAGTGCCTTGGAATTGCAGTGAGGTGTTGGGATTGTACTGAAGTATTTGGAATGCCTCCAAGCTGCGCCCATGCTGAAAGAAAGGCTGGCTGCAGACTCCTCTTCCCCCGGTCCCACACATATCCAAGTGCCTGCCTGTGCCAGGATAAATCTGTGTGTCTTAGGGCTGGTGGATGTGCTGAGCAATACATCTGTCTGCAGACGGGCAGGAGCTGTGCGGTAAAGAGGGTGTTGAGAGGTTCAGCCCAACCTCAGCCCGTTTAAGATATACCTCCTATATCACGGTAGTGCTATGTGATCGCTTCTGTGGGGATAAATCTGTAATGCCTGCGACTCAGTTGGTGATAAATATCGTGTAAGTCGTTGTGGAGGTTTTTCATGTGTTCCTTTTTATTTATTATAGCCCTTCTGGCAAAAGTTCCTGCACGGTTCTAAATCATCGTGAGGAAAACAACTCCCTCCCGTGATTGCAACCTGTTTGTAGTTGAAATGCTGTCAGCGTTTGCGAGAGAGAAAGTGCTGATGTCTGACTTCACTTGGTGAAAAAGAAATTTGCTTCGGTGCACTGTGGCCCCCCAGAGATGGTATCAGTAAAATTACATAGAAAAAAGTCCCCCCCCCCAACACACACACCTGTTTATCAGCATTTCTGAAGTACAGACATTCTGGCAGGAATTCAGATCTAGAATGCAGGAACACATTAACACCTTTTCCAGAGCCCTTTTATCAGAGACATTGTGTTCTCAAATAGGTCATAGAGACAACAGAAAAGGCAAGAAGTAACAGGAGAATTCTGTGTAGCCAAATGTAACTTACTGGCTGCTGCTGCTGGGGCTTGCTGCAAAAGTAAAATCATTTTGATAAGATGTTTCCTGTTTAAATAGACATTTGACTATGTGTCCTTTGGCTTTAAGGAAGTCTTAAACAAAATCCTTTCCTAGTTGCTTAGCTGTCTGGGTGGTTTTTATTACTTTGAAGTTGGGCTTTATCTGCTGGCTTCATTCACAGACTAGCTGGCTGCTTATCACATCTGCGGATCAAATCTTCAAAGGTTTTGTCTGCAGAGTTGGGATTTATGAGGTCACGTGGAATCCCGCTCGGAGGGCGCTCGGCCCAGGGCAGCAGGGTTGGGGGGCAAAGCTTTTGTCCGTAGGTGAGGCGGGCGGGGAGGGCCGGGCCGGGGTCTGTGCGCCGTGGGGAGGTGCCGATGGCCCGGGGAGCGCCGCACTGCGAGCCTGGCCCCTTTTCAGAGGCAACATATAGAGAATGTGGGAGACCAGAGCGCATTCCTAGACACAGACTCACCGTGTTGCTGCTTCCAGTGGAGCTGTGTGAAATGTCAGAAGGAATTAGACCCGTGCTGGAGCTGATGAGCACGTCGGGCTCTGCAGCACTAGGCTTCACTGCACTTTTACAGCCGGGCTTACAAACTGCGCTCAGTGGGGGAAATGGGGAGATTTTTTTTTTTCCCTTCAGAAAGGTGCCTGCTTATTAGAAGTTAAAAAAAAAAAAAAAAAAAAAGGGAGGGGGGATAAAAAAAGAAAACAATCCAAAAAGCTGCCTGGCTTTCTGCTTACTTCAACAGCGAGCAGCGGCTGTCAAATCTGCAGCCAAGCCTGCCTTGTTCCAGCCCCAAGCGTCCCTGGAACAGGGTGCCAGCTGAGACGAGCATCTCCAGGAAAAGCACTGGAGCGCTCTTGCCGCTGGAACAGAGCACGGTTTGCAGGCTGTGTTCAGGCACGCCAGGCTTCGCTGACTGTACAGAAAGGAGCGGGCTCGGTGCAGCAGCACATGTTTGGTGCATTTCTGAGTGTCTTGCGAGCAGCTTGAGCTGCTTAGGTCACTAGAGATCATTCTTGGCTTCAGACAAGCACAATGATACAACTGTATGTGCTGCGAGCGGGAGAGAGTGCTCTGTGCTGATTTATACCTCAGCTTCCAGTCAGGAGATGAAGATTAGGTTAAAGGATTGTAATGATCTCTGTTAAAACAGTGTTGGAAAGGAAGCTGTTTTTCCTTGGCTGCAGCACACTGTGAGTTACCTCCTGCAAGAGGCTGAAGGGACTGTAGGTGCTGTGAAGGCAGTTAAGCCCCATTCACTGTGCGGGGTTTAGGAATGTTTATAGTAAACGTTCATTTGATGTGTTTGGAGATGCGGCTCGTTGTCTTCCTTAACTTTTTCATCTGAATGTGCCGCTGCTGCAAAGAGAAGCTTCACGTGTTTGTGCTTGTATCCTGTGGCCAGAGCTGCTCTTTTTCGGCACTGAATACGCAGCCCCTCTCTGGGTCAGAGCTCCACCCCTGTGAAGGAGCAGAGCCTGCTGAGGCTCTGGAGCCGCCGCTGTCCGCCTGCCATGGCTCCTCCTCCCCTCCCACCCTTGGGTGGAACCAGGGAAGGGAAAACTTGACAATAGTTAGCAGGCAGCAGAGCTCGCAGGAACCACTGCAGCAGCATGTCCAACTAGCCCGGTTAGCAGGGATTCTGTCCTTCCCGAGGTGCTGCTGCTGCGGAGTGCGGGAGGAGGTGGTTATGGCCATGGGAGCCGGGAAAAGTCTGAAGAGGAATGAGCAGCCGAGAGACCTGGCATTCCTTGGGCAGCTTCAAAGAGAGGTGAAGTATCTGAATCAGCGCAAGGGTAAATGAGCCCTGGCTGCTGCCATGTTGGCAGAACAGAGCTGTTCAGAGGCAGTTGGACGAGTTTGTGGCTGAGCCGGTTTATCCAGTGTTGAAGATGGGAAGTTACTTGTCTGCCCCAGCGTACTTCGCTCCTAAGGATCCCTTTCGGTAAGTCTCGCCCAGGATTAGCAACTGGACCTCCAGAGTGTCGTTTCCCCTCCTGTGATGGAATCCTAAAGCGTCGGTGCTTGTGTGCCGGGAACAGCCGGCCTCAAACTGGGATCCTGTGTGTCTCTGAGGAGGCAACAGGGGAGGTTCTTGCTGCCAACCCCTTCCCAGCTCTCGGGTATAGAAGCTGCTCCAGTGTGTGCTCAGCCCAGGCAGGCTCCCCCTCAGGGAGCACGGGATGTGCCACTGTGCCCAGTGCCCCGTGCTTCGCTCACTGGCACAGGAACGAGATTACTGTGCCTGCTGCTGCTTCTTTTCCAAAGCTCCTTGTGCCTGGGCACGGCACAGGGTGAGCCGAGGTGCTGCTGTGGGAGTGCAGGAAGGTGATGTAACCTGCAGCGAGGCAGCGCATAATCCTGTTTGAGGAAAGAAATCAGGTGCTTTGCGGGTAACTGGGGATGAGCAGCACACTTCCCCTGCGTGGAAAGGCTTCTTCTGGGGTATTTTGGTTTGTTCAATTTTTATTTGTTCTTGGTCCAGTTGAACAAATGAGACTCGAGAAAGGTGATAGCTCCAGAATCAGGCTTTGATTGCATTGCATGTCCGCGGTGAGAACAGTTAGCGGGGCTGAACACAGCCGGGCTGGTGACTGATGTGCTGATGAGGTGGATGGATGAGGAAAAGCACAGCTTGCACTTTCATTGTCTGCCTCCTATCCCCTCCGCTCGGATTTGCTTGTTATTGATCCTGTTCTGCAAACACTTTTGTGCTGATTTGGGAGTAAGGAGCCTTTTGTTGAAGCAGTCTAGGACAGGAGTAAATATTGTGCATTTGATGAGCTGCTTTAGCCAACTTTCTGAAACAGCATCTGCTTTCCGAAGAGGGAAAGTGAGCAGACATTCATTATTTGTAATATGTGTGGGGTATTATGCTAATGGATACACCTTCTCTTAAGTGTGTGGAAATGGTTTTGCATAGTCAGAGCTTGAATGCTCTGTCTTCTAGTAGTCTGTTTTCTAGTATCTGTCCTTCCCTGGCTGGTGTCTCTGACGTGGGCAGTGCACACGCTCCTGAGCCCGGGTGAGTAAGCCCTTGTGTCAGCTGCAGGCTGGGGCTGTGCTCCATCCTGCAGCTCTGTGTGTGTGGCTGTGCCCCCCCAGCGCTGCCTGCACCATTGGACCCGGGGCTCTCCCGAGCCTGCCCAGCGTTAACTGATCCGGCCTGACAGTGAGTGTGAGGGGGGCATTTTGTTAATGAGCCCTTCTCAAAGGGATCTGTCTCTTCAGTGCCAGGGAAGTCTTTGCTTCCATGAAGGTATTGGTTTTCATCTAGCTGTAAAAGAGATGCCACATCAATTGAAACCAGGCTGGTTACCTGTTGTGACCTGATCCTCCTGCCACCCCCCACAAAACCCAGAGTCCATCCAGCAGCGATTTGTGAACTCTTCCTGCACCTGCTGTGCTGCAGATCACCCTGACTGAGCACTGCACCCAAATGCTGCCTGGGGTTCCTGGGGGGTGGCTGTGGGAGGCAGATTAATTTATTTTGTCTGGGAAGTGAAGAATCGTGAGGTCTGGTCTGTATAATCAGAGCAGGGTTCTGTGGCTCCGAAAATGGTGCAAGAGGAAACAGGGCAGGTATGGCTGTTACCAGCCCTCCATGAAACTTGATTGCCATGGTTTGTTACTCTGTAATAAGAACAGCAAATCATCCAGGAGAAGATTAGTAGTTTCTAATCTATAAACGACTAGCATGGAGGAGCATGAAATCTTCCTTTCCTTTGGTCATGGTGGCTGGCAAAGGGTGTCTTGTAAATACCTGCAGCAGTAGTTGTGTTCCTGTCTCAGTTGATGTCAGCCCTGCTGCAGTGCCACAGCTCTAGTGAGGAGGGAAAGGAAGAAGTTGTATCTCCTGTGATAAAATTCTGACAGGATAACATTCAGCAATCTCTTCAGTGAGAACCGTGTGGAACAACCTTGTGATGCTTTTATCCTTTGGGCCGAGTCACTGAAACCACAGCTGTGCTGTCAGC